TCTGTTCTCTTAAAAAATGAAGTGATCCCCCCTAAATTTTAAAAGTTTTTTTGTATCAGATAACACCCGCTCTTGATTACGGATAATGGCAGACAAGCCGGCAGTGGTATCTCAAAAACACTAAAACACAAGAACTAAATTTAGACTCCGAAATGAAACATTTTTGTTTTTAAGTTTGGGACAAAAGCCTGTCACTTGTGGTTGGCTACAGCTTTAATTCAATAAAATCGTTGGCGAAGTTTACATCAAAAACTTGTCATAAAAGTTAATAAACGGTTACATTAGATGTGAAACTAAACCTAAAGGGCACCGAGAAAGTGACACTCTTGACCATTATCATTGATCCACACTACCAACAAATTATGTTTACTTAGATATTTTTGCAGACAAGTTTTCTATTCCCTTTGTTCTTCATCCGGTCCTCGCGTCCTTAGACCAGCGGATCTCCACCCGACGTTCGATGGGCAATTGTAGCAATTCAAACTCTTGAGAAGAAATAGTGTATCTGAGTTTTATTCGTATTATCATTCTTGAGTGCATCAGTTTTTATTTGCCCTTGTACATTGAATAATACTTTTAATGTAGTGCTCTTTGATTTGTAATAGGTTTGTACTGTTTAAAAAACGAGCAGAAGTTTATTATTAGGGCGAAGCCGAGAGCTTTTACATCTAAAACTACACGACTGCGAGTTTTTTTTAACGGTTTTAAAATCTCTGATGTAGATAAACTCATTCTTGCAATAATATTTAGATTTGAGGCTATTTTGGTCTAAAAAATTGGACGTAAAGTTAAGGCGTGTCTTAATCAGATATAAACATGGCTTCGTTTTGTTTTTTCTTCATAAATTATTAATTCATTTTTGAAGGTGATTCAGAAATATGGTTAAAAAATTGATTTTTAGTGTTATTTTCACCTTTATGGTCACCCAACTAGTTCAGCTTTGTAGTTATTTTGGGTGTCCGACTACTGTATGTGTTTATATCTATAATTATATTTCTTGTATATTCTCTTAGTTGTCCACAGCAGAAATAAAGTTGTTGTTGCTCTATATTGAATTTCGCTATCTATTAGTTTTCTGCGTTTTAGTCCTAACATTTTGCTTTACATTGATGAGGGTTTTTGGACAAACCTGTGCCATGAACCTGCATTTTTGCTTAAATGTGGCCAGCGACCATGGTAATCAAACCAAACTAAGTCTGAGGAATAGATAAGTAGCCTGCGAGAACAGCCGTTTCTCCTCTCTCCGTCGCCGCTGGGGACGTTTCGCGAAGGGGAATGTCTATTAATTAGCGTCAAAAATTTCCATAGTGACGTAAAAATATACCAACGTGATAAATCTATAAGAAAAACAGTCAAAATTATAGGAGTATATTCTTCTCCAGAGAAAGCATTTGAGTTTTGCTGGAGCTCGTTCGCGGATGAACACACACTTAGCCAAAATCGATCAGGAGACACGTAAAATTGAATAAATTTGCATTTGGAACCCCATCACTACCGGATTTACTATGTAAACATTGATTTACGTTAATATATAATCATTATGGTAGTTCAAAACACTTATTATCATTTATATCAAAAAAATCATTTACACGATTTGGATTGTCCAAATGTTTTGACGAGCGTTTTAGTTACTGTGGATAGGAAAACTGCACGCTATTCATCGCATTCAATACAGCAACGTAGTTAAAAATCAAATATCTTTCGTCTCCTCCCAGAGGTTTTGAATAGGTCCTGAATCTAATTCGTCCCCACATTTATAAAAACACCACGCACAAACACAGGAGAAGCTAGGAGGGTGAGAAATGATTAAATGGGTCACTTTTAAAAAGCCGAGCCATATTTCATGCAAACGGTTCGCCAGGAAGGAAAGGGTGAATCATAAAAAACGCTGGCTCGCCCTCCATGGTTGGCTCAAGTAGTCGAGTAACCCTTTTATCCGCGGCAAGGTTTCTCCACGTTAATAACGTTTACACCCTTTGGATGGTACAAATGTTTTGACGAGCGTTCTAGTTACTGTGGATATGAAAAAAATGCACTCTGCCTATTTATCAATACAGCAACGAAGTTAAAAATCAAAGGTCTTTCTTCTCCTCTTAGAGAATAAGGTAAGCCCCATCACGGCGTTTTGACTTAGACATCCACTTACCTAAAGGAAAAATGTTTTTTATTAAGATGACATTTATGTTACTAAAACCCATGAAACTGTTTTTAAACTCGTTATCCTGCCTTTTTTCGTATATCTTGCAGTTTGCTTTATCTTGTTGGACGCATAATGCGAAAAGGTGTATTACCTTTGTTGATGCTGGCGATCCTTGCTGTAACGGCGAATGCTAAGCCTCGTCCCAAGGTAAGTCATGAGTTTAGCCAGTCCAATTGCTGACGCGAAACGATGTAAGAAAGATCCCATCAACAAGTAATAAAATTCTCCGTTTCCGGGCTTTTTAACAATAAATATACATACAAAAATAATAATCAATCTTTTTTCAGCCTACTTTACTTAGATGTTTTACAATAGGGTCCTGAGAAAACGAAATAAATAAATAAATATAAATGTAAGCAAAACAGCAACAAGAAAAACCAGTTAAATAACTATAAAAATTACTACTAAAAACTAAATATCCTCCCTCAATCCTAAACATACAAATCTGAGATTATTTTAATAGAATGATGCTAAAACTACTAAATATAAATATTTATAAATATAAATTACGGTAAGCTAGCCTCCCTCCCCTTTATAAGCTTCTCAAAAGTAAGAATATCCCGGCCCAGCTTCTGCGTGTATCATGATTCAAATCATTCCAGTCATTACTACATGTAGCAAAATTAATTTATGTCCAATGGCTCCATTTGCGCTTAGCATCAGTCTATAAACGTATGTTGAACTTACATCTGGAATTATACTCATGAAAATCTTGATGATATCTTAGATCAATCCTAAGTGAGAAAATGTTGTTCCTACATTTATAAATGAATATTAAACCATGCAACTTTCTTCTTATCTTGAGATTTACCCAGGAAAGCCTCCCTAAGGCAGCACTTGCATGCAGACGATCGATAAGAAAGGTCTAAGATGATACGTGCAGCTTTGTTCTGTAATACTTGCAAACCTGTACATGTAGTGACATTAAAGACTCATTACCCCGATCCCTCCTGACTATGTCAGCAATTTGATAGTCAAACAAGGGCAAAATATAACAATTAAAAAATAAAATCCTACAATGAAATGGCAAATAGTTCTTGAGAGCGGCGCCGCGTAACTATCAACTAGACGTGGAAATAGTCAAAAAATGACCTGGCCTCAAACTCAGCCAGAATAAAGCCTTTATGGGCCCTAGTTACAAAATGGTTGGTTTAAGTGCGATCGAGTGAATAAATTTTTTTTAACGATTGTTTTTCTTCTCGAGGCCTAAAATGGGCAAAAATCATGCGAAATTAGAGTCAAATTCAGTGGCTCGTATGTTTTAAAATAAAGTTGGCTAGTAAAATATAAGGACACTTCATATTTTTACTGTCTTTCCTCTAAAATTTTAACTAATTAGTTCGCGGTTTGGTCAACAAGAGATATTTTAAGAAAATGTCAAGCTCGTTGACTCAAAATCGCTTAATCAACGGTCAAAATTTAGCACTTTTTCACCAGCTAAAATAGCGGACGGGCACATGGCTTTCACCACCAGGGCAGAGCATTATTTTTTCTTCAAATTAGTGAAATAAAATTTGGGGGCAAATGAAATTACGAGTGCTAACCTGAAGCGAAGCAAATGTAAATGTTACACTAAAAACGGGCGTACAAACGTGACCTCTGATCCCCCCCGGAGGGGGAAAGGGGTGGGGTACTTTCAGAAAAATTGGGTGGGGTGTGGCCCACGCTTCCTGAAATCCTTACCCTATTTCGGACCATTATACTACTACATGAGAAATTTCTGCAATCTGATTGGCTTAGAGCAGTAGTATTTCAGGTTAATTTGAAATACCTACATGTGAAAATTACAAACCTTTTGTAGGTAGTAGTATAAACAAATAATAGCATAATTTGTACGTGATATTCGGCATAAATACCACTTATGATATTTCAAAATTGTCTCAAATTTCACTCGCCAACGGCTCTTAAGATTACGTATAACAATTTTGAAATATCACTCGTGGTATTTATGCCAAATATCACTACAAATCATGCTATTACCTATACAAATCTGTGTTTTTCCCTACTCTTTTTCAGACCTGATTAAAAATTCGATACCCTAATTCAGACGGGATTTTTAACAAAATCGGTGATATCCTTTAAAAAAAAGCGTTGGAAGTTTCAGATTGCTATAAAATTAAAAGTTACGAGAAAATACTGGGTGAAAGGCAGAATACATGCAAGTCCAGAGAGAAAAGAAAAAACAACTTTCTGTTCAAAGTCGGGTAAGAAGACTGAAGCAAGAAGACTGAACTTGATGAAGGTTGTTCATTTAAGGTGGCTCCCGAGAGTAAATTGGCGGTGCGCAGCCTGAGCCTGGTGTGTACCTTTTAAGTACCGACAAAATGCTGTGAGAAGCTATAGCCGTTCGTAGCTCAGGCTTAACCATTTTCTGATAAAAGTAGGTAAATGCCAGGAGGAAGGGTAGTTCTTTAATTGCAGCTGTACGAGTTACGATTAAGTTATTTTAATGATAAGGCTAGAATTAATTATTGTAAACCTCTTTCAGTTTGCCAATAAATAAATATTAAATAGATAAATAAATAAAAAGCTCTTCATTAGGTTCCAAAAAACAAACGTTCTGGATTACAATAGGCAATTAAATAAAATTGAAGAGGCATCTATTAATAAAACAGCGTTTAAAACGTTCGGTCCTAATCTGAGAAAGTATGTAGGAATGACCACGATTCCTTAGCAAACTTGTTTTACTGGGTGGGAGGAGATCTACCAAAGGGCCTTCAGTAGACGTAGTTATATTCTTCCATAACTTATTATCTGAGGACTCTAAAAGACTTAAAGGAAACCAAAACCTTAAGGAACCCGAAACGAACTGCTCTTTTCTGAACTTGTCAATTTTGGAAAGATACTTATCATAACTAGAAACACTCAGTACTGAAATGCCATAAGTAAAAATAGGTATAATCAAACTATGGAAGAGGTGCTGTAGAAAGTCTAGACTATAGCCAGGTTTCTTGCACACTCGTAATATGTGTATACGCCTCCCTGCTTTGCTAAGAACGGCATCAATTTGCTTGTCCCGATTTCTAGGATTACTATGAAGGCAAACACCTAAAAGCCTAAGAAATTCTTCCTGATTGATATCAAAAGTGATAGTGGGGAGGGGTCTCTCAACGTTACCCTTAACAACCATCTCCTTAGTTTTAGTAAGGTTTATAGTCATAAGGTTGTCCAGGGCCCAACTGAGTATTTTGCACCTCTTGGGGAGCTTGGTCCAAGTATAGTGCCCTAAGGCACACCTCTGTTTATAGGCTTAAAGGGGGGTCGTGTCACCGTCAGCTATAATTACTCTTTGTTGTCTATTAATTAAAAAATTAATCATCCAATTAACAATGTAGGGATTCATGGGCAATTATGAAGTGATTCACTGAGTCAAAAGCCTTGGAGAAATCAAAGGCAAAAACCCTAACGCCCTGACGTAATCTTCTTCTTTAGTGTCAAGCCATTTAAGCCACATGTGTTGGCTTTTAATGAGAGCCTCGGAAGTATTCGTACCTTCCCTATATGCAAATTAATCTAGCAATAGATAGGATCTAATTACAGGCTTAACTTCTTAACTTAATTTGAAAGCAAAGAGAATTCAAACCTTAGAAAATGCATTCAGTACTTAGGACACCATTCCAAGGCTACATGCCAAAAATCAGCCAAATCGATGAGGTACCCGGTGTCAGGCCAAAGTTCGAATTTTACAGAAAATCACTCTTAACACTTAGATCTACAGTTTCGCATAGGTTACTGAATTGGTTTAAGCCTTTAAGCGTTAACAAAGTTTTTTCCCAAGCAGGGACGTCTAAATCCATGGAAGTTTAAGACGTAGATTTTTTTCCTTTTAGAAACCTTTGGCGCAACTTTCAGGGACGTTGTCGGAGGCTCGCATCTTCACTGCAGATACTTGTAAGATTTTAGTATTAAAATGCCTGACAACAGTTATTAACAGCTAACCGTTTAAAGGGGCTACGTCGCGGGGATGTGTTGCTGTAAAGTTCAGTACGTTTACCCATACACAAAATGCTCCTTTAGAGTTAAGAATTTCATCAGGGAGCACTTATTATGATCGGTTTTGGGTGATTTTTGCATAATAGCATTAAAACGTTATTTCAAGTTTCAAGCCATGTTTATGCGCTGGTTATCCATAAAAAACAGACGATAGGAAACAGCTCCAATGCTTAAATAGTCTTAAAAGACAAATCTGGACCATTAGCGGTTATAGAATTCGATTGGTGCGAAACCTGATCGGTTTAGATTTTCAACTGAGAGATGGGAAATAGCACAACTTCGCCCCTTTAAGCCCTGGTTAACATGCAGTTTGAACATATTTTAATCTTTTAGTTACCTTTTTTGCTAGGGCTGTCTGACCTTGAGAACGATGAAGCATTTAAAGATTTCAAGTCTGAGCAGGGCCTATTGGAAGTAAAGCAACGTGGTGCCTATTACATCTATGCTCAAGTGTTTTTTGAAATCTACCAAGACGGCCCTGAATATCACAACCGTGTGGCAATAACTGTAAATGGAAAACCATTTGCCTTGATGCAAACAGGCCTCGGAAACAAAGCTGACTATGGCAGCGTTTACACAGGTGGAGTTATCCGGCTGAAAAAGGGCGATAAGATCGGCTTGAAAACCGTTTACGAAAGCAGGTTGTGGCTGTCAGCTAAACATACCTTCCTCGGTGCATATA